CATACAAATCCTGATTTATCTATAAACCAACAAGAAGAATTTATTCATAAAATCAGTAACCACTATGTCTTTTACTCTATATCTTTTCAAACCAATCAACACTATCTTGATATCATACTTAAAGGACTTATCCCTAAATCTTTAATTGAGATTGTACAAAACTTTAAAATCTTATACAAATTAGCCTTAAAAACAATTATTGCTATTCTGCTTAAAGTTAATGAATTTTCTTATAAACAAATATGGAAACCATATTTTATAAACTTTGCTAACTGGAAACAACAACAAGGACTTAAACTACTCTATGTCAGACCCTCATCTTAATCAAAATCAAAATAATAAAAGAAACTCTAATCACAAAAATTATCCTTATTCTTGTCTATGTGGGCTATCTAACCAACTACACTTTAACTCTAATACCTGTTTACCTATCAGTTATACTATTTGTAAAATCAGCATCTAGACTATCCTTTGGTTCAAATACAATATTTCTTATAACCATATTCTAAACTTACAAATCTAGATGAGTTTTGACCACTCTAGTAGGTTTAGGTTACAGATAAATATGTCCAAGCTTTTATTCTTAAATGTAGTTTTTTCTTTATTTGTACTTAGAGTAACTATATAGTTAGCAGTTTAATAATTTAGCCCTGACTGCAAGTGTTGGTTTTAGCCATAGCATTTATATAAAAAATTACTTTTTGTACATAGCAGCTCCATGTAGCTACTAATTTTTAAACTACCAATAAAAATACAAGCAAGTTCTCATCTTAATATCAAAAAAAATAAAAAATAAAAAATAAAAATAAAATAAAATAAAATTCTTAAAAAAAAAAATACTTTGTAGATAGAAAAGATAATTGACTTAATTAAAACAAAAAACATATAGATATAGTGGTTTAAAATGAAAAATTATAGCAAAAACAAATAGAATAATAAAGCTAACAGACTTGTAAAAAAAACATTAAGCAAAAGATAATATATATAAAAAAAATTAGTTACAAAAAAATAGTATACTGCCTAAAGTTGAAAAACAAACAAGTAGACATATTAGCAAGACTTTTATATAAGCTAGTAATAAATGCTAAGCTAGGTATAGAGTGAAGAAAAACAACAGTAATTAAAAATCTAGAACTAGTAATAAAAGCAATAATTTATAATTAGATATATTTTTAAAAAAGAATAAAGTTAACTAAAGAAGTATATTGTATAACAAGAAGAAGCAATATAAGAAAAAATACTTTTATAAAATGTATATTAAACAAACTTTTGATATTAAAGAAACTCAATAAAAAAAAACCAGATATATATACAACTACAGAATACCAAGTATATCAAAGCAAAGTTAAAAAAATACAAGAATATCTGACATTATATAAGAGACAAGCAAGCTATTTTAAAAAGATATAAAAAGTATTTATTGCAATAGTATAAAAAGAATTAAAAAAAAAAAAAGCAGAGTTTCATCTAATATATTATATATAGTGCTTATTGAAAAAACAGAAATAGTAAAAACAAAAATGAAAAAAGCACTAACCAAAGGCCTAATTTCAAAACAACTTAAGACAGATTAGAATAACTTCAAATATAAAGATAAAACAACAATTTATAAATATATTAACAAAAATAGTCTAAAACATTTTTTATAAGCAAGTTTAATAAATACAATATGAAAAAGTAAATGAATAAATAAAAAAAATAGAAATAATTAAAAAAATAAAAAAAAACTCAGAAAAAATAATCTAAGCAAAAAAGAAAAGACTAGTTAGTAAGAAATAAAAGAAAGAAAAAAAAAGCAAAAGAAAAGAAAAAATAAATTGAAAATAAAACTAGAGAAACAATTTGAGAGTTGTTATAAAAAAGAAAGACCTTTTTATTATGAAATTTATATAATTAAAAAGCAGCTTACTTCTGCTTAAAGTAATGTAACAGGTTGCATTTAGGCACCATTAAGATAGTTAGATGATACTAGACTTAGTTGTTAGATATATTTATATAATTGCAAAAGTAATTTTAAGAATCTTAATAAAGTATTATTATGACTGTCTAAGCTAAAAAAAAAATTTTTTCTTAAACAAATAATTCACAAATTTTAATCAGAATTATTGCCTATTATAATATTACTTAAATTTTTAAACTAACTATTACTTAGCTTAAAAAAATCTTGACAAATTATACTTTGATTAAGCAAACCAATATATATCAAAAACTCAATATTATTATATTTAAAATATTGAAAACTGGCTTTATTTGCATTTTTAATATATCTAAAATTATTAATAAACTTGATAATAATTTTTTCTTTTAGCTATATTTTCACATTACTGCTAATTTTTTTTATTGTTTTCTTTTAGCTACACTTTTATTAATCTATTAACTTTTTTTTATCTATTTATTTATTTAAATATTTTTTTCCCCTTTGACTTGTCTGCTGAGATTTTTCCATATGTTTCTCATATTTTAAACTATTGTTCTTTATATTAACATTTTCCTGAATCTTGGCCTCCTCTGGTCTGTACTTTTAAACTTTCCAAGAGTGACAATGGCACCAACTCCTGCTAAGACTAGAAGGCTTCACCAGGCTCTATCAAGAACTGGCTGTTGTCATGAGTTCATGTAGTATTTCTCATTGTCAAACTTTTAACCTTATATTATGTCTTATAACTTCATTTATTCCAAATCAAGCTCTAACTCATATCTATTACCATGTGGCTTCTCAATTGTGGGTCACTTGTTATTTCTAAAAATAAGTTTGTCTATGAACATCCTGGGTCTCTGGTCCAACAGTGTTGCAGTTTCCTATTTTTGGAAATGCATCTTTACAATTGCTATTACTAGAATTTAAACAGGCAACCTTGCAATTTATAATCTCAAAGCATAACCACTGTGCTATTGACTCTAGAGATCTTGTTTATTTAATTAATATTACTTTTTATCTTTTAACTATATTTAATTTCTTATTTAATTTATTTTACTTTTATCTTTTTTCTTTATAATACCAGTACGATTATATGAAATATAAGAGGGATGGTTCCGTTCAACTTTTTGGGCGTGGCCTAGCAAATTTTGAAAAAATCCTATTTTAGAAGAGGTAATAATTTTCATTTATCCATTTTCAGAAGGAGTTAAGATTTTTACATACTGTATGACATAATTCCGCATGTAGGTCACTCAATTATGATGCAAAGCTGACATCTCAAAATTTATCTCATTATGATGCAACTAATTTTTACGCTATTGACAAATTTTAATTTACCATCGGTTATTTCACAAAGTGATTCCAGTCATTATGGTTCTGCTCATTTCACTGTTACTCGTTTTAAACACAACATTTATCGAAAATCAATTCATCGACATGTCCATTTACCCAACACTTACAGCTGTTTTCATAAATTCTAGGACACCTAAAAATTTTCTAAAAAAAAAGAGAATAGGTAAATTGATTTCCTTGAGCTTTTCATAATGGCGTACATGATCGTACTGGTCCTGCGCCGTGTCACATGCTGTGCAGCTACCCTAATAATATAATTACCTTTCAATAATATAAATAGTTAGTTAAATTTATAAATAGCTTCTTAGTATATACTAGAGTAATAAATATTATTTAGAAAATTCTAACTAATTTAGATAAATCTTAGTTACTCTAATAGGTTTAAGCTATAAATAAATATACTTGAGTTTTTATTTTTATATATGTTATTTTTAATACTTAAAGTTACAGTTTTATAGTTAACATTTAATAATTAGCTCTAATTACAAGAATTAGTCTTAGTTATAACATATATAAAACTTATTTTATTTTATTATTATTATTATTATTGCAAAAACATTGATATTAACCCATTTAAACTATTATTATTGATCTAAAAAAATTTGTACATCATTATTGGTCCAGAATTGAAAAAATAATAATAATAATAAATAATAATAATTATTATTGCTGCATTGTAATACAATATTTTCATTATATAAGCTTTTCAATTGATACTTCAAATGAAAATAAACCTATTACTATAATTTATTTATAAATTTTAATATAATTGGTTATTTATTTTACAAGCTAGCCATTTGTTTTATTCTATTTTTTCTTCTATTAAACTATCTAAACAAATTTTTTATATTCATTTCTACATTATTATCTAAGTAAATATCTTTTTTAAGACAAGCTTTTACAAACTTCCATCTTTTCTAATTAGTTTGTTTTTCAGAAAAAGATTTTTAAGTACACATTATGAAGTGGCTTTAGATAAAGATAAGTTAATAATTTCATTTTTTTTTTTTTAAATATTAAGATGAGTACTTGTGACCCAGAATTTTATTAATAGTAAATTCAGCTAATGGTTGCATTACAACCACAAGGGGCAATTATAGAAAGAGTATACAACTAGCCACTTGTACAACTTTAGTCATTGTCTAATTTAAGTAGTCCACCCAAAGGTTCTACACTAGCTGCCATACCTGAAACCTACTTGTAAGTTTCTTATTTAACCACTCTGTTCCCGTATCCACCCACCTATCTACACTTACCAAGATGCCCTGGTCGATAACATTGCAAATATGCCATAGTCACTAAGTCTTTAAAGCAGTTCACTCATATGGGGAACCTTTGACCTTGTACTAAACATTTCAGAATCTTCTATATCCTATTCTTACAGCTGACCTAGTATCGCTATGGCCAAGACTAACACTGACAGTCAGGATGTACCATTTAACTGCTATGCTCTTGTAGAGTTCACTCAAACCCTGGTACAGGCTTCACAACATATCCCTACTACTTTGGTATTCAATTCAAATTCCACCAAGCTTAATAATTTTATTACTTTGATTTAAATCATTTATAGTTAATATTTTGTTAATTTGAAATTTTTATAATTTACTGTATTTAGACTTACCTTTTTTATAGAATTATATTTGCAGTTTCTAATTGTTGCAGTTCTTCATTTCTGAACTGATAGTAGAAATAGACTTAATACTAATGCTTTTGCTCTAGTAGCATTAATTTAAAAGGCTTTATTAGTTACTTTAACCTTTTTGGCATCTTCAGTTTCACTTTCATAAACATTAATTTCTTCAATTTCAGTTTTAATTCTTTTAACTTCAACTTGTTTCAGGCTTGTTACTGTTAACAACTCTGCTTTAGTATCAATTAGCATTAAGTTTTTGTTATCAACATTATTCTTAAAATAATATAAAATATAGTAATTAAACTATTGTTAATTAAATACATTTTATATAAGAATAGATCTACTTATCTCTTTATTATTGTTAATTCATTTAAAAAATAATTAGGTTTTCTTAGCTTAGCACTATGTACTTTAGGGGCTCTGATGCTTGATATTCTTTGTTCAGGTAGTTCAATAGAATGAAATAGATCCTTTTCTGTAGTTATATACAGTCTTCCTCCTCTATAATCACACTGTTTGTATAGACAAAAATAGTGATTATAAAGAGGTGTGATTGTATAGTATTTATCCTATATAATCACACTTATTAATATGATTTATATTATGTGAATATATAGGAGTAAATATAATAATATGTATTATAGTAGTTATAATTATGTTTTTCTAACAAACTTAACTTCTCTAAATTGCAAAAGTCAATAATCAATTTTTATTTGTTATTTTACTAAAAACATAATGCATTTATAATCTATTGTATAGCATATATTATATACACTATTTTTGGCTTTTATCTGTAGTTTTTATTATATATACTTTTTTTTAGCTAATTATATATTCTAAATTACACAAAGTAAAAATTAACACCAATAAAATTTTTATATTGACATTTTCGATATATAGCTAATTTAATTTAATAAGAGTTGTGGCCATGCATGGCTTCTAAAATATACATGTTATATTTTACTACATTCAATACTAATAAATAATAGATTCAAACACAAGGGCTATATGCGGATATGCTTTAACAGCTACAATACAAATTTAAGTGCTTAATTCGAAAAAGGGTTAAATAATTGCCGTATTTGTTAGTTCAAGATTTTTATATGTAAAAAAAAATACCCTTATTGAATTAATAAAAACTTATGTACGTACATACTTAATAGAGAAATCGGTTATAAAATAAAGGGAAATTTACAGACAAGGGCCCAAAAATGAAAATAATTACAAATAAGGGCCCAAAGTGAAAATAATTACAGATAGAGACCTGATATTTGAAAATTATTACAAATAAGGGCCCAAAATAATTATGCATTTAAGAACTCGTGATTTAAGCACCGTTTCAATGACTTAAATATGACTCGTAATATATCATTAATAATTATGACAGATTAAAATGAAATTTTGTATAATGCAATATAGACAAGCCACTGAAAAATATATAATTTTGGGATACATTTTTTTAGCTTTTTTTTAGTGTTAAGGGTCAGCTTTAGAGGTAAAATTTATATTAAACAAGTATAAGTGGCTTTTAGAGGTTAAATAAAAACTTCAAATTTCATTTTAATCTGATTTTATTATAATCTGCGACAATTATTAACACAAAATATAATAATCAATTAATAGTTCGAATATAAATTCAAATACACAATAAAAAAATATACATTCGAATGTTAACACATTATTTGTGCTGTAAATTTATTTCATTAAAAATTCTTGGTATATTTCTTAACAATCTGCTCATAAAAAAGTGCCATGTCAGATACAAAGTTACAGATTAGTATGATCTTCACTAATTTAAAAAATGTTTGCTCAGCCTTGACAGCTATTTTGTTGAGTCCTTCTCTTTTTATAAGTTCAGAACGAATAACCCAAATAAGCTGCTGGCTTTTTTTCTACAAATAAACCCTTTTATTATTTTAGCTAATAAGTGTAAAGATGGCTACATTCATATACAGTAATAAAGCTAATTTTCATGTTTCAACTTGTCCAACTTCTATGAAAGAGTGGAAACTAACACGTGCATTTTGATCTTAATGCTTAATGCCAGATAAGAAAAATTGTCTAGTAATTAGACTTTTGTAGTAAACATTATACAGTAATAAATTTGTATGCAAATTCGATCGTATAATTAATTAATGTGATTTTTTTTAATTCTGTATAATGGATGATAACTCTAAAACACAATAATTTTCAAATATCAGGCCTCTATCTGTAATTATTTTCATTTTGGGCCCTTATTTGTAATTATTTTATTTTTGGGCCTTTATCTGTTGATTCTCCTAAAATAAATCTATTTTAAGAAAGCGTAAAGTCTACAAAAATAATGAGTTTGAATTCCTGCGAATAATTCATGTATTTTTTTTTTTACTTTTATAATGAATGTATATCCTAAGGTATAACTGGTATGGCAACAACTCCTATTAAATTAAATTAGCTACCAGAAAAAGTTAGCATTAGTGTTGAATGTAGTAAAGTATAACTGGTATATTTTAGAAGCCATGCACAATCACAACTAAAT